GGGCCCCCCCCTTTTCTTTGGAACCTTAAAGCGCCCGCCCTCGCGGCCTGGCCTGGGGAGGTTCGCGAGGGTTCCCAGTACGGTCGCCCAGGGGCCTTAAACCGGCCAAACACCGGGGGGAGCCAAACCACAGGGGGGCGCCCCCCATGACACTCCGCTTTCACCAAGCCCCCCCCATACCACCACCCCCGGCGCGATGATGATGCACTTCATTCGCAGTTCTTTCCTCAGCGAGGGCCCAATCAGCCATCGATGAAGGCAAACTCTTCCTTGGATGTCTGAGCGCCATCCCTTCCTCCTGTCCCCACCCCCGCCCCATCACCCCACCGAATGGAACTGTGGAAGGGATTGAAACCCCGGACGCAGCCCTGCGTGGCAAGAGGCACCAAGGCCGCAAGGCTCTCCCGTGGTGTACAGCTCGCACGCTCACATTCGACACCACCGCTCGCGGCGCCCGGCGAGAGCTGTGCGGCGCCGCAGCGCCAGCGTATATCTCATACCACCTGCCAGCCGATCGCGCGATGAGGGCGGAGGAAAACCATACGCGGGACAACCCACTACACCCCCCTCCTCTCCTGCCCCTTCCCTCGCTCACTTTCTACCCGCCGCCTCTCCGCCCCACCTGTGCTCACCCTGGGCCGCTCCGTTCCGCCACAGCTCTCTTTGCGCGAGGGGTGCACGAGGCTGATCGAGCTCGACGGTGATCCGGCTTATGAGTTATGTGTTTACTCCTGTCTGCTGTCTGTGGGGCAGGCTGTCGCGTGCCTGCTGGGTTTTAACAGTAGACCGCGGACAGCGCACCTTACACGACACACATGAGAGTCAAAACGCTCACTCAACCTCGTCGGGGGGGCGAGCTAAGAAGGGCAGAAGAGCGCACGGTCGCTGGAGAAAAAAGAATCCCACATGCGGCGCTGTGTTCGCGCTCAACTTCCTCGCCGCGATTTTCCATGTTCTGGACCGCCACCACGCGGAGCGGCGCGCCGCATAAGCTCGACGGCGACGTCGCCTCCTTCGCCGCGCTGCTCGGCAGGCTCGCCGCTCGCGACGGCGGCCTCTCGGACGAGGAGGCGGCCGCGGCGGAGCTCTTCGACTGGACCGCTCCGCTCCACGTCGCCCGCTCGCCTGGCCGGCTCGACGTGATGGGAGGCATTGCGGACTACTCCGGCTCGCGCGTGCTGCAGATGCCCATCGGCGAGGCGTGCCTCGTCGCCGCCCAGCGTCAGCCCGCCTCTGCCGGCGTGCGGGCCGCCTCGTTTGGCTCGGCGGCGGGCGGGCGCACGTCGGTGGTGCACGTGGCGCTCTCGGAGCTCGCGGGCCCGGCCGGGCCGGTGCCGCTCGCCGAGCTGCGCGCCCGCCTCACGTCCGACGGCCGCGCCGCGTGGGCCGCGTACGTCATCGGCTGCCTCGGCGCGCCTCCCTCGCAGCCCCTCTGTCGCACGGCCAGCCGGCTGCCTCGACCGACGAGGCTCGCACCCTCGCCCCAGGCGTGCTCTACCACGACGGCGCCGTCTCGCCGGCGGACGGAGGCCTCGCCATCCTCGTCGCCTCGGACGTGCCCGAGGCTGCCGGCGCCTCCTCTCCTCCGCCACCTCCAGCAGCACACCGCCTAGACGCGTCTCGGACGAGAGCCGCAGGCGGCGGGCGTCTCCTCCTCGGCCGCGGTCGAGGTTGCGAGCATGAGCGCCCTGCTCGCCGCCCTCGGCAAGCCGCCCCTCTCGCCCGACGAGAAGCTCGCCCTCCTCTGCCAAAAGGCGGGGCTCCAGTCTTGATACATTAGTATATAATTATATATATATGATATATAATACATACGGGGCTCCAGTCTTGGTCTGTGTCGTGATACGCGGCTTGATCAATAGGTGGAGAATGAGGTGGTCGGAGCTCCGTGCGGCGAGCGGCGGCGAGGGACGGCGACGACCTCCCTCCGAGCCACCTTGCCGAGCCCTCTCTCTCTCTCTCTCTCTCTCTCTCTCTCTCGCAGGTATCATGGACCAGCTCGCTTGCGCGCTCGGCCGCGAGGGACGCCTCCTCTCCCTCCTCTGCCGCCCTGCGACCGTCCTCGGCACCGTCCCCATCCCGCCCCACCTGCGCGTGTGGGGCATCGATTCGGCGGCGCGCTGCCACCCGGCTGGAGGGGCGGGAGGCAGACTGCTCTCTTCACTGCTCTCGTCACGAGGAGCCTCACGCGCCAGGTGCGCCACTCGGTCGGCGGCTCCGACTACGGCGCCGTCCGCACCGCCGCCTTCATGGGCCGCGCCCTGCTGCAGGCCTCCCTCGGCGAGGGGAGGGTGCTGACCCACCTGACGGAGCTGACGCCCGAAGAGCTCGCCGCCCTGCCTCCGCTGCCGACCTCCCTCTCCGGCAGCGCCTTCCTGCAGCAGCACCCCGCCGGCCACGGCGACGCAGCCACCACCGTCCGGCCTGAGGCGGAGTATGCCGTCGCCGCCTGCGCCGCCCATCCCGTCCTCGAGCACGATCGCGTCTGCGAGTTCGAGGCGCTGCTGCGCGGGCGCGCGGCGCGTGCACCCGCACCGCCGCCGCTCGCCTCCCCACCGCAATTCCCCACCGCCCCCCTCCGCAGGCCTCCCTCCGAGCAGCAGCGCCTCCGGCTCGGCGAGCTCATGCGCGGGTCGCACGAGTCGTACTCGCGCGTCGGGCTCGGCTCCGCCGCCACAGACCGCATCGTCGAGCTCGTCGCCGCGGCGCCGCCGAGCGCGCGCCTCTACGGCGCGAAGATCACGGGCGGCGGCTCGGGCGGGACTGTCTGCGTGCTCGGCGAGGCGAGCGACGAGGCGCAGGCGGCCATCGACGCCGTGCTCGACGAGTACGCGTCCGAGACGGGCCGCCGGCCGTACGTCGTCAGCGGTTCGAGCGCGGGGGCCGTCGCTTTTGGCCATGTCGAGCTGCGCTGCTCTCCGTGAGGCGGACACCCCGGCCATTCGCACGAGGCGCAGCGCGGTGCGAAAAGCGCGCGCAGGGGGGGGGGGGGAGGGGAGGTTTTTGCTGAAAAGTGTCAAACTTTGTACTCTCTGTCTCTCGCATGAGAACGCACGGGCGCTGCTCCATCAGACTCCATGGCCCTTCGGGGCCACGCGGTGTACCTTAAGGTAGTCTCCAAGTTTCCTCGGCGGTCATCTGCCACACAGAGTCATGTGCTCACCGTGCGGACAGACGACAGTTACCAGTTTTTACAAATTATTTTCAGTATATCGTATTTTATGATTACGATGTAAGCAGTAAGGCGAGACGAGACAATCAGACAAACGCTCTGCAGCAACGCACAGCGGTGGCTCCACTGGCACTGCCCCGCCTCCTTTTGTCCCCGCGCGGCGGCGGCCCAACCCGCAACCCCCGCTTCAACACACAGTACACAAAAAAGTCTCAAAAGAAAAACATCGGGCTTCGGGGGGACACAACATTCAACAACAGAGTTTTCACTGCACAAAGTTTTGCTGCTGCCACGGTCGTCCGTCGGTGGGCTCGGTGGCCGGCGGCTGCGCGGGTTTTGGCGGTGGCGGCGGTGGCGGCTGCGGCGGGCCATTTGGATCATTTGGATCCCAATCAATGATGTGATGGCTCACGCCACGCCATCCCGTGGTGCGCTCCTGCAGACTCGCGATGAGGCTGTCGGCAAGGCTGGCGGACTCCTCTGGCGGCAGGAGTGCAAGCAACGCCTTGTGCGACTCGGGTCGCAAGTGATTACCGTCGTCGAGAAGGTGTATGGCGTTGGCTCGGTGCCGGGTCGACGAGAATGCCTTGACGAGTGCCACGGCTCGAGGAGTCTCATAGCTGGCATTCATCGAGAGCGAAGCCTCGAGCAATTGCTGACGCTCGGTGTCGGTGGTGGCGCGAACCTGCGGCGCGGTAGCGGCTGAGCGCGTGGGCAGCACGGTCCGCGAGAACTTCAAGCGCGGCGCACCAGATTTGCGAGCAGCATTTGGAAGTCCTCCTCGTCGATCCTGCGGGTGAAGAAGGCGAGGTAGTCCCCTGTCGTGACGTCCAACGTCCCCGACTCGGGCAGCGTGATCCCAGCAGCGAGCTTGATTTGCTCCGCGGAAGCTTGCGTGGACTGGGTCGCAGGCCGCGAGAGGGTGGCGGCCCACCCCTCGTCCTCATAGTAGGCAGAGAGCTTGCAAAGCCGAGACGCAAGGAGCCGGTCCTGCGGGCAGGCGCGAGCGGGCCGATCAGACACGCGAGCGTCGCTCCGTCGCTCCTCAAATCTTGTGAGCCGCGCCTTTGTAAGTGTGAGGTCGAGTTGGTACGAGCGCCTTGTGATGGGAAGCCCCGCAAGCGGCTTGAGGGCGAGATAGTCGAGCTCCAGGATGCCTTGGCGCGGGAGGCGCTTCGAGGCTGCAGTCGCCGCCTGAGGAGGGCGCGTTGCGCGTGCTGGACGCCGACGGCCCTGGCGATTGGAGAGCAAGAGCGCGCCTTGTGGGCCAGACCCGGCCGCGCCCAAAGCAACCCGCTGTCCTCGTCGAAGCGGAACGGCCGGCCGTCGACGCTACAGTTGGCTAAGTTCTGACCGTCCTCCCGCACCGCCCATTCAAGCAGCCGCTCTGCGAGCCGCCGCTCCCCTTCGCGAGCAAGGTCGAGACGATAGCTGCGGCTGCAAATCTTTCGCGGCGCCGGAGACACGTAGTCGCACTCAAAGATGCCCTCGATCGGTGGCCGCCAGAAAACCTACAGAAGACGTTCGCCAACGTCTCGCTATGGCCCGCAAGCGCTTCGCCGCGTGCGTAGATTTACCCGCATCGCGGGAATGCTGAGCGCCGCCCCGTCGAGCGTCGGCCGCACAAAGCCGACACCGTCGTCCGATAGGAAGCGCTCCTGCAGCTTGCACGCGATGGCGCGCTCCACCGGCGCAGCGAGGTCGAGGCGATAGTGCCCCTCGTAAAACTGGTCGTAGGTGACGTAGTCGAGCTCGAGGCAACCCGCCTCTGGCACCACCCAACCGACTCTTGCGTCCTCGTTCAGCTCGAGCGGCTGCCCGTCGAGCGTCTCGTTTTGCCAGTTTTCGCACGCTTCGGCGCGCGCCCTCGCCCACAGCAGCTGACGACCCGAACTTGCCTTGGGTGACCGACAGGAGCATCTTTGTTGGCAATTCGACCACGATCCAGTGTGGAGAGGAGGACCCTTACTCCTCCCCGGCAAAGGTGCTATGGTACGGCGCTCTCTTTGGCACGTTGCTGTCCTTCTTGGTTTGGCTGCTGACCGGCCTCTCCGAGCAAGTGAGCGGCATGAAGCCGATGGAGATTAACCATGTCGGCACGTTCGTTCTGATCCCTCCCTTTTACCTCGCTCTCGGTGCTATCATTGGCTGGCGGGTGGTCGACTGCACGCTCGGCTGCAGCGCCTGGGCCGCGAGCGCGCCCTCCATTTCCTTCTTCACGGCCAACATCCAGCGCGAGGGGTACATGATGCTCTTCATGACCCTCACGCTCACCGCGCTCATCTTCTTCAAGCGGATCGACCAGCTGGCGAAGAGTCGCGGCGTCGACAACGGCGAGGTGCACAGCAACCTGGGAAACTACATGCTATGCGGCGAGTGGCTCGCTCGCGCAGGTTTCACGCTAACCACCATCACGGGAATCATGCCCTCGCTCGCATCCAACTGCCATATACAGCCGGCTGAACTGTATGAACGGTGCTGGGAGGAGGAGATGTCCAATCCGCATGGCGCGGGCGTCGCCGTCGGCATCTTCCTGAGCTTTTGCGGCCTCCAGCTGCGCGCGGTCGGCGGCATCAAGTCGGAGATGGCGGCGGGTGGCGTGTCGGGGTTTGGATACATCGGGTGGGCACTCGTCTGCGTTGACGTGACGTTCGTGCTCATGCTCAGCTACTTTGGAGCATGGCTGCACTTCCTTTACGAGGGCGGGCCCAACCCCTTCGCGATCGACGTCTGCATCCTGCACGAGACGCGAGAGGCATGCATCGGCGAGGACCTGCCGCCGCTCCAGCAAGAGTGGTCGGACCAGCGGCCGGGCGGGTGGCGGTGCCGCTGGGACCCGAACGTCGATTACTACTTGTACCCGTGCACAAAGCACGACTGCAACGCCGACGGCCACCTCGACAACAACAAGTACTCGGTCATCTTCGAGTACCTCGGCTTCCTGCACTGGGCAGTCGGCTGTGCCGGCATGATGGAGGCTATCAAGGCGTTGGACAACCACGCAAAGTCGCGCACGCAGGCTGAGACCACGGGCTTTCATGGTCTACCCTCTGACATCCTCCTTTGATATGTTTATACGCGGCCGGAATGTTGCGCATCCAGTCGTCGAATCCAGTCGATGGTGTGTTCACACGGACACACGCACGGCGACTTGCACTTTGAGTTTGTCTTTGAGCGTAGAATGTAGTGTCTTGCCCGCGCCCGGCTCGCCCGGCCGCCGTGTATCGCACGCGCGCGAGCCGACGCAGCCGCGGTCCCAGTACGTCACGATTCGCGAGACTAGCTCGCGATGCTCCATCCGCTTCGACGCCTCTAGAACCCATCGTGTTTTTTTTTCTGCGCGTTAAAGATTTTTTTCCTCGTGATCCACCCTCGCCTCCGCGCTGTATGGTTTGTGTCCATTGTGTGACCCCATGACTGCGGCGGCGTCGTCGCCGTCGGGGTCGTCGGCGCGCATCCCGTTCCCGGCCGGCGCCACATGCCGGGCCGCGCAGCACCGCGCGACCTGCAGCACAAAGACCGCATGTGTGGGGCGGGGCCAGCCCCTTGGAGTGTGAAGGCTTCGTAGCCCTCCGGTCTACTATGAAGATCCGCAGGACTGGAGCGAAAAAAAGCAAGCGAGTGGGGCGGGGCGGGAGTGATTCTGAGATCAGGTTGGGCGTTTCCCCTTTGGAGGCAGACATTTCAGAAAGCGAATCCCAGGCCGCATCTCCCCGCTCGAAGCGGGGAACCCGTCCCGGGCGCCCGCTGGAAGCTGGGGGCGCCCGCTCGAAGCTGGGGCGCCCGCTCGAAGCTGTGGCGGCGCAGGCTGCCACCGCTGCCCGGGCGCGCCGAGCGGCGGCGGAGGGCCGCCCAGGCCACCACCAGTGCCTCTCCCACCGGCGGCGCGGCGGCAGCGGCGCCGACCGCCCCTCCATCAGCGGCGGCGCGAGGCTGTCGTCGGGACGCCGGCAGGTGACGCGCGAATAGGGTGCCACCGGACCGGCCGACGAGCACCCAGCGGAGCCGTCATCGTGCATGGCGAGCCGAGCACCGCCGCGTCGCTTATCGGCGCATTGGAGAGCAGAGGAAGCTGCTGGCGTCGCGGCTGGGATCGGCAGCGGCGCCAGCAGCTTTCTCGGATCTGAAGCGACTTTGAGCGCCGATCGATCGATCTGAGGGCTGACCGATGGGTGGCGCTGGGAGGAAGACCGCGCCACCCGTCGGCCAGCCCTCAGCTCCGCGACGGCGACTCGATAGTCGTGGCCGGCGCTCGGCTGCCACTCGCTAAGCTGTGCCGCCAGGCGCTCCTGGAACCGTGACGTCACTTCTTATGGATGCGGCACTAGGGACGCCCAATGTTTTCGTAAATATAGAAGCCACTCTCTCGCGTGTGGAAGCCACGACTGCGTAGTCGTGCTCCCCCGGAGCACGCCATAGAGCGCCGGTTGTGTATACCGGGCGCACCCGCAGCCGTACACACTGCACTGCCACCTGCCAGGGGGGCGCCGCAGGCGCCCCAAGCGGCGCGGAGCGCCGCCGCAGGCGGCGGACAGCAGGTGCGCAAAATTAAACGCCATTTTCGGTTCCGCAGTTTTGCCACTAACGTCGGAAATCCGGTACAAATCGAGACTTACGAGCCGAGCCCCCCACGAAAACCACAGAGGGGCGCGCGGACGACAGCGCGCCGCCAGGGGCGCCGCAGGCGCCTCAAGCGGTGCGGAGCGCCGCCGCAGGCGGCGGACAGCAGGTGCGCGAAATTAAACGCCATTTTCGGTTCCGCGGTTTTGGCACTGTCTACCAACTTTTGGTACAAATCGACTTGCACTTGGTCTGACTGACGGCCCTGCGCTGCGTTTGAGCCTCCATTCTGAAAGTGTACGTAGAAGGGAAGGCAGCAGGTCCGGCTTGCGAACTCCGCTGTGCGCCGACAAGCGGTATGGCGCCGAGTAGAGGCCATTTTCCTATTAGAAAAGGCTGTCGAGAGCGCCGCGGAAGCTGCTCGACAGGTGTCTCGCAGCTGCGTATTCTCGTATTATCTTCGAGTAAGGTATTGCGTGGGGACGGTGCGTATTCTCGTATCACTAGCTAGTGTCGTGTCCACTAGCTCCGAGTAGAGGGGGCGCTCCGCTGCTAGGGGAAACCTGGAGCGCGGACTAACTCTCGGAGAGTATTCTTTAGCTCCGAGTAGAGGGGGCGTTCCGCAGCTAGGGGAAACCCGGAGCGCAGAACCAACCCTCGGAGACCCGTGTTATGGCCCTGCGAACGCGCACCCCCTGGGCTAGGGCTCTCTTGCCCGCAACCCGATGCCGAGCGTCCGGCCAACTGGGTGCGCTTCTCAGCTCCCCGGTCCTGGGCGTGAGGTTGCCGACTGCACTCCAAGTGCTCCAAGAGCGCAAAATTTTCTTCGCTGCGCGCCCAACCATGGTGGGCACGCAGCGGGCGCCTGCGGCGCCAAATTTTTGAAATGTCTGCCAGTCGCCCAACCTGATCTCAGAATCACTCGCGGGGACGCGGGACGCGCTAAAGTTTTGAGCTCTCTCTCGAGGGGGAGGTGTCTGTTTTTTTCTTTTTACCATATACGGCTCCCTATGGACCACCCGCTCGACTCTCTGGGTCTGGCCTCTCTTTTGCCGTCACCTCACACCCTCCTGGCCTGCAGTACCTCCTCGCGGGCTTCGGCCGGGAGCAGGTCCTCCACCCGCACCATGGAGAAGAGCGGCTCGGGATTCGCGTGCCCCTCGCGCAGCTGCTCCTCGCTCACGTCCCGCTGGCGGAAGGTCGCCGTGAAGCCTCCGAGCGCGTCGACTGCGTCCGCGGGAGGGCCGCGCGCGATGGAGACCATGTGGTCGTCTCGCAGCGACTGGATGTAGAAGCGCCACTCGGGCCGCGCCGCCCCGTCGACGCGCACGCTCGCCAGCTCGACCTTCTTGTGCGGCTCGCCTCGCGCCGGGTGGCGGCCTCCTCCGAGCGCAAACTCGCAGCGCGAAAACTTGAAGCCGAGCCCGTCGCCGCGCGCCTAGGGTGCGGGGTGGGGTTGAGGTTAGTGAAGCCGAGCCCGTCGCCGCGCGCCTTGTGCTCGCCTCCTTCACCGCAATCTCGGCTCCTCTCGGCTCCTCTCGGCTCCTCTCGGCTCCTCTCGGCTCCTCTCGGCTCCTCTCGGCTCCTCTCGGCTCCTCTCGGCTCCTCTCGGCTCCTCTCGGCTCCTCTCGGCTGCTCTCGGCTCCTCTCGGCTGCTCTCGGCTGCCCTCGGCTTCTCTCGGCTTCTCTCGGCTTCTCTCGGCTGCTCTCGCCTTTGTGTACGCCTCTTTGAGGGACCAGAGCTTGCGGAAGACGGTCGCCATCGCCGCCTCCTCGGGCCCCGCCGCGCGCACCTGCGCCCACTCCGCCTTTGTGAAGTTGTCGCGCATCACCTCGAACAAGTCCTCCACCGACTGTTGCCTCCCGCGCCGCAGCTGGCTCGGCGCCGCGACGTCGGCGCCGCACAGGAGGGTGGGCTCGGAGGCGAGGATGACGAAGCTCCCCTCGTGCGACACGTTGAAGTTCCAGTTGGGCGCCTCCTCGAGCGGCGAGGAGTGCGGCGAGGCGAGGTACGGCTTGCGCCCCTTAGTGCGGAGGATCTGCACCTCGCCGTGCGGCAGAGAGAGGTAGCGGGCGCACGCGTGACGCTGGAGCAGCCGCGAGACGAGCGCGCGCTTCTGGTCGTCGCGGAAGTGAAACTTCATCACGCGCGTGGCCTCCTCCTCGGGGAGCGTGCGCAGCAGCACCTCCCACTCCGCCTCTTGCGGGTCCCACTCTGCCGTGTCCACCGCCCAGCGGATCTGGAGGTTGCTCTCTTTCTCACCTGCCGCCGGCACACACGCGGGCTGGCCTGGCCGTGACGTGCCGCCGCTCTCAAAGTACTCGCGAGCCTCGGAGACAGTCCACGCGTCCGCATTTTCTGGCAGCTCGACGTCGTCCGCCAGGCACTCCTCCTGCAGCTCCTTGAGCACCTCCCGGCTCGGCATGGTGGTGGTGCGCTTATGCCAGCCTGTGCGCGTCCTGCTGTGGCCCACGCAAGTTGATGATCGCGGAATTTCTGCGCCTTGTCAGACGCCGGAACGACAGAGGGCGCTGTCGAATTCTCGCCCACGCCAAAAAGACAAACGCGCAGCTGAAAAAGGAGCTGGGGAATTTTGGGGTACCTAGCGAGTACCAGTCCCGCTTGGTGCCGCTGCACACATGTGTGCTCTACTCTCTTGATTGGGTGTGAACTTGGGATTTTGAGCTGGAGAAGAAAAAGGAAAAGGCTTCAGAGAGAATTTTACAAGAAAGCTCCCTCGCACGACACTGGGCGGGACTGGCGCGCACTGGCACTAACACAGGTACACTTCAGAGAGAAGTCGAGTAGAATAGAGTGTGGTAGGAATTCAAATCTCCGGCTCACACAAAAACACAACCCCGGACCCAAGACGCACAAGCACAGGCAGTCGAGAAACAGCAACGACAGTAAGAAGTCACAACCTTTAACACCACGATCAAGAATCCCCTGCAGGCATGAACAGCGACTCTCTCTGCGACGATCAAAAGTAGGAATATGTCGAACAGCGTGTTGCGGGGTTTGCGAAGAAGAAAACCTCGACCCCTGTGGGGTGGCGGCGTGCCGTCCTCCCCGCCCTCCCTTGGGTTGACTGTTGTCTTTCTTTTCTTTCTTTCTGGGTGCGCTTCTTAGCTCCCCGGCCCTGGATGTGAGGTAAATGACTGCACTCCAAGTGCTCCAAGTGCTCCTCATCCCAAGTGCTCCAAGTGCTCCTCATCTCAAGCCCGACCTCCTCCCCGCAAACGTCCTGCTCTTCCTCCGCCTCGCTCCGTCGGGGACGCCGTCGCGTCCTCCGCGAGTCGTCGACCCGCCGGAATCCGCCCCTGCCCGGAAGCGGCGTGGCCACCCCCGCCGCTGCCGTCGCCGGAGCGCGCCCAAACGCGCGACGGCTGCCGCCGCCTTCGCTCCCTCCCCTCCGGCCTCCACCACCGTCCCCGCGTCCAGCTCCTCCACCACCAGGTCGACCCAGCGGGGGAGCGGGGACGTGTCCGCCCGGCGCGCGAGACCACCCGCCGACGACTCGCCGACGCCCGCGATCGCCATGGCGGCCGGGCTCGCATCGACGACGGCGGGGGATTCGACGGCCCCCTGCGGCGGCGCCGCCGGCAGCAGCGGCGTCGCCGGCAGCAGCGGCGTCGCCGGCAGCACCGGAAGCGCGCGAAGCGTCTCGATGGTCGCCGCCGCCTCGGGCAGGAGCAGCGCAGGCGTGTCGACGCCGCCCTTGTAGAGGCCGTGCGCCGCGGCCCCTCGCTCGGCCGCCTCGTGCATCGCCTCGGAGCGGACCTGCACCTCGACCAGCCGGCCGTCGGGGAGCCGCACCTGGACTCGAGCAAGCTGCGTGTCAGCCGAGGAGGCAGCAGAGGGGGGCGCGGAGGGGGGCGAGCTGGAGAGGAGAGCGAAGCAGGGGCGCGCGCGTTCGTGTGCAGCGACTGGTAGCCGTTTGGCTTTGGGCGCGCGACAAAGTCTTTGAAGCGGCCCGGCTCCTCGCGCCAGCGCGTGACGACCTGCTTGTAGGCGGCGTAGCAGAGGAGCGCCTCCGCCTCGGGGCGAGAGAGGGTCGGCTGCTCCAGGCTGGCGGCCAGCTCGGCGGCCGCGCCGACCGACGGCGCCAGCACGAGCCGGAGCGCGAGCACGTCCCGCACCGCCTCGACGTCGTCCACGTCGCGCAGCAGCTTGCGCAGCGTGGAGGGGACCGTCTTGACGCGCCCCGTGACCGTGACCTGCAGTGGACGTGCCGTGGACGTGTCATGTGGACGTGTCATGTGGACGTATGACGGGCCGGTGCGCGACCTCCGCCAGCAGCCCGTGCAGCGACGGCGCCTCCTCGACGGCGGCTCGCAGCTCGGCGATCAGCCGGGGCAGCAGCTGGTGCGCGTCCGGCCAGACGGCGTCGAACCACGCGCCTACGGCGGACCCCTCTCGCCTCGCGCCGGCCACGGCCGCGGCAGCCGAGGCGGCGGCAGCGGACCCAGGCGGGAGACGTGTCCTGGGAAGAGGCGGCGGTACGAGACCGCCTCGAGCTCGCAACCGAGCGGCGCGAGCCCCACCTGGTGGACATGTCTCGGACATGTCATGTCCGCGTGTCGAGGACATGCCCCTCGCAGCCGGGCGGGTAGACCACGCACCGTCTGCGCGAGAGGGGCGTACAGCTGCACCGCTCGCAGCGCCACCGCCGCGCCCGCGTCATCGGCACCGCCCGCCGCCTCCTCCCGCCGCAGCTGCGCGAGAGTCGAGCCGAGCGCGACGAGCAGCGCCCGCGGCTCGCGCGAGCCCGCGCCGACCATCGCCCTCACGACGAGTGCCGCCGCCGCCGAGTTGAGGTCGTCGAGCGAAGCGGGCCTATTACTTGGCGCGATTCCTTCTATCGAACTCGTACTTGGTTTAGTCGAGGTCGTCGAGCGAAGCGGGCCGAGGCAGCAGCGAGGCGGGCATAGCCTGCAGCCGCCGCGCCTGCTCGAGCGGCAAGTCGACTGTGATGGTCGTCTGGGCTCGAGTCTGGAAGTGGTTGAGTCTTGAAGTGGTTCCGCATCTCCGCCTGCTCGAGCAGGTGGTCGACCATCCTCGCGATCTCCCCACATCTCCCCGTATCTCCGCCTGTTCGAGCAGGTGGTCGACGCGCGCGGAGAAGGGCGAGGGCGCGCCGAGAGGCCAGCTCGGCGCCGCGGCGGAGAGGGCGCTGCCCGAGAGCATCACCGCCTGGTCGACATTAGTGACGTGAACTTGGCGCTGGCCGAGAGCCTCACCGCCGGCGCGAGGGGCGGCTGAGTGCGGCGCCGCGCGGGAGCGGTGAGGGCGGTTGGCGAGGGGTGAGTGCCGGGCGGTGGGGCTGCAGCGTGACAGTGTGTGTGGGCTGTGGACCGCGACGGTCTCCGCATCGAGCCCGAGCTGGAGCAAGTCGAGGGCTGCCCGCACGCTCGCGAGCACCAGCAGCGCCGCGGCGTCGCCACCGCGCTCCACGAGAGGCGCCTCTGCATGCCACCCGTCTGCAGCCCGGTCACCGGCGGGCGCTATCGAGAGGAGGCCCTCCCACCCCTGCGAGCCGCCGTCCGTGGCGATGTCGGGCGGCGTGCGGAAGGTCGGCTCGAGCAGAGTGGAGGGCAGAGCTCCGCCGACGAGGGCCGACTGCTGCCTCGCCGTGCCCTCCACGCTGCTGACGATGGCTGCTTTCGAAAGCAGCACACGCAGCGCGAGCCGGAGGTCTACGTGCTCCGCCTCGCCGAGGTGACCCGCCGCTGGAGCGAGCATCGCCCACAGCGCCGTCGCTCTCGCCTCCAGCGGCGATGCCGCAGCGTGCTCCTCCGCACGCAGAGTGACACGCCGGAGGGCTGCGCAGTGGCCGCCGAGCGGGCAAGCGACGCCGGCGAAGCTCGCGGCATGTGGCGGGGACACCAGAAGGAGGAGGAGGGCGAACGGCGGGCGCATGTACGAAGGGAGGTTGAGGTGGCGGCCGTCGAAGGCGAGGGTGGTTGTTTTGCTAAAAAGAAAGTGCGGAGGCCCCGCCTGCGAGCCGTCTTTTTACCAGGTTGCAACCCTTGTTCCGCACTCGGCTGTGAAAGCTGCTGGTTGCCGCCGGTTGAGCAGCACCCCATCCCCGTCCACGTTGTCGGTTGCTGCTCCATGGTGCCCTGCTGCCGGGCCTGCGCGGCCCGCCACGTAGGTGCGTTCACAGCGCCAATTTGGCCCGCTCTTCGGCTCGCTCCGCTCGCCGGTGAGTTGGTTGGTTGCTGGCAGCACCCCAGCACCGGGGGGTGCTGAGAGCTGTTGGTTGCCGCTCGATTCACAGCACAGTGCAGAACAAGGGTTGCAACCTGGCGCGATTTTTTTTTACGCCGACGACCACGCCAGTGTCAAGGCTGGGGGCTTTCTTTTTCTTCCTTCTCTTTTATACCTGGTAATAAGGCCGCTCGCTGTGTCCGACGCAGACTCTACATGCGAGTCCTGCTGCTCACTCACAACGTGGCCGGCATCTTTGACGACCCCGACGAGGCGCTCCGGCCGTGGGCTGACGGCCTCGCGGCGCTCGTGCAGCGGACGCGCGCCGACTTCATCGCGCTGCACATGCAGGAGGTCGGCGGGTCGCGCTGGAGGACGTGCGGCCTCGATGGGGCAGCGGCGGTGGCGGGAGCGGTGGAGGCGGCCCTGCCCGACCACTGGTCGAGCGGCATGATGGTCCGCACCGACACGGCGGAGGACGGCTTTACCGCGCTCGGCTCAATCTATCTGGTTCGGCGCTCTGCGATGCAGCTGGTGCGGCTCTGGCGGTGGAAGGAGGCGGAGGGCGCCGCGGGGGCGTTCGAGAGCCTGCGTGCCGCCGACGGCCCGCTCGTCCCGCAGCCGGGCCTCCCGCCCCGCCACTGCCGCCACGAGCGCTTCCCGCGCCACCTCTACGGCTCGACTTGGCGCCTCTCGCTCCGGGCTCCTGCGGGCGCCTCCCGGGGCGTGTCGTCACGAGCCCTGCCGTGAGCAGGTCGCGCAAGGGGTACCTGCTCACGCGCTGGCAGCTCGGCGGCGGAGGCGGGGCGGTGCTCGACTTGGTCAACGTCCACAACTTTCACGACGAGAGCAACCTCGCCGCCCTGGCGGCAGGTCCAGCCCGTCCTCGCCCCGGGGGGGGGAAGGCGAGTCGGCCGCCCAGCAGAGGGTGCCCTCTGTGCGACTGCTAGGCGCCTCGACCTACGCGAGCTGCAGGCAGCAGGCGCTCTCCCTCGTCACCGCCGCCCTGCTCGGCTTGCGGGGCGGAGGGGCGGCGGGCGGAGGGGCGGCACCGGCACCGGCGAGCGCCGCGTTCCTCTTCGGCGACTTCAACTTCAGGAGCAGACCTCGCTCGCTGCCCGCACCCCTCCCAACGTCCCCTGCCCGCGCAGACCACCACCCTTCCCAACCCGCCGCCCTTCCCCCACCCGCCACCCTCCCAATCACTTGCCCCCTCCCTCTTCCGACCTCCTCCCCCCCCCAAGGCTCGACCTGGCCCACGCCGTCTCCCTGCTCTGTGGCGCGGAGGGGCTGCAGCGCGCGCGAGCCGTCGCCGCCGCCGACGCGACGCCCCTCCGCCTCGAGACCAGCGGCGGCGGCGGCGAGGGCGGCGATGGCTACCTGTCCTCCTCCTCCCGCTCGAGCCGCGCCCCCGCCCCCTCTCAAGGCCAAAGACGAGTCCGAGAATGATAGGCTGCTCGGCCCGAAGCAGTTCGAGCTCTCTCAGCCAAGCCTGCTCGCCCGCAAGCTGACAGAGCTGCGCGGGTGCCTGCCCCCCCCCCCCCCCCTCGGTGGACGCACGACCGAGGCTAGCCCCCAACCCCTTCGCAGGTCGGACCGCGAGCTCGCCGCCTTCTCCGCCTCGGCCGAGTGCGCCCTCCCCCTCGAGGAGCTCCCGCTCGCCTTCCCTCCCTCCTACGCCTACCGCGAGGGCAAGGGCGATGGCACCCCGCCCGACGAGGCGGGCTGGTGCGACCTGCTCGCCTCCAAGCGCTGCCCGGCGTGGTGCGACCGCGTGCTGATGGACCGCACCGGCGGAGCCCTCGTGGCCGCCTCCGCGGTGACGGCCGAGTACGGGCACGAGCCGCAGCCGCGCGTCCTCACCGACCACAACCAGGTCTACCTCGCCTTCAGCGTCGAGTCGAGGTGACGGCAAGCACTCGGGAGCTGCGGGCGAGACGGAGAGAGGAGGAAGGCAGGGCCAAGGGGCGGGGTGGACGGCCGACGGTGGTAAAGAGAGAATCATCAAAGATCCACGGGGCGTCCTTTTTCTTTTCGCGCGAGGGTTTCCCCGGCACGCCTTACAACCAGAGTCCAGAGAGAGGAACGAGCAAAAGTACGTTGTACGCACCGACCAAAAAAATCCCAGGTACTACGAACTCCTATCCAGTCTCACGTACGCATATGCTACAGGTCACAGTATGGGTTCGGGACGTTTTTCCCGCAGTATGCTTGCGGGTGATTCTTTTTTTCACAATGTGCATGGGGTCGGATCGAGAGCCACGGGTGCCGTGCGGAAAGTGGGAAATATATCTCTTTGATGTGGCAGGCGCTCCTCCTGCCTTGTGCGCATCCAGAGCCAACCAGCAGTCAGCCGGGCGGCGGCAAGCACTGTGTGACCGCAACCGTGCGCCTGACGCCTGCACGCATCTACGCGGGCACTGCAATCGCTGTCGCCGCTGCCTCCGCCGCTGTCATCCCAGCGGGGCCGACAGCCCGCCAGCAGTCACCTGGGGCCGTCCGAGCTGCTCTGCGCGCGCTGCGGCTCGACAATGACATGGCTGCGCTTCTCGCGCACGGAGCTCTCGCCGATGCCGCAGCAGATGTCCTCGCGCAAGCGGTTGCTGTCGACTCGGCCCGCGGCCGAACGGCGACGGCGGACCTGGACTGGCGGCGAGTTCGCCGGTCGACTCTTGCGGCGCTCGTCTCGGACGACATCCCCTTCCTTCTCTGGGCGCGGCTGCTGCACGAGGCGTCGCACCGCTATGTGCTCGCCGCACGCCGAGTGCTCTCTCCGCCGCTCGCTCGCGCGCTGACCCACCCGGCGAGCCTCGCCGCCACGAAGGCGCTCCTCTCGCAGATAGTCTACGAGTCCGCCACCGCCGTCGCCTACCTCGGCCTCCAGGCGTACATGCGCGGCGGTGGGGCAGCGGAGGCGTGGGCGGAGGTCCGCGCCAAGTTCTGGCGTGTGTGGGTCGACGGCCTCGCCTTCTTCTCCGCCACGTACCTCGTGGTCTTTGCGCTGCCTCACTACTCCATGCAAGTCGTCGTCGACAACATCGCCAGTCTCGTCTTCAACATGTACCTCTCGCACGTCTCGCACAGGAAAAGAGGCCCTCCGGTCCCTCACTCAAACTCCTTCTGTCCTCGGTGACGAGAAACGGGATCTATTGTCTCTCGTCCTACCAGCTGTGTGCGAGACTCTCACTTTTGTTGTCTGACCCCCGGTGGTCGCTAGACGCCACACACTGGACGAGGCAAAGAGTGAAAACAAATATACATGTAAAAACGGCGGCTGTTCTATAGTACGGCTCTAGGACGTACGGCTCTTTAGCATTAGGACGCGTAGAGGGAGAGATGGGCATAATTGTGGGGGCTTAGGGGACCCCTTAGGCTACGGCCTAGGGTTCTGAGGGCCGGGTTTTTTAAAGACCTTTTAAGAAACGAGGAGGTTTGGGGGCTTAACTTGCCATTTAAGAGATTGCAGGCACCGACCGGGGGGGGGGTCCCTCTTTTATGTTTTAAGGTTTTAAGACCGTTTAAGAAAATCGGCCTCGCCGGCACGCGTCGCTGGGTTCCGCGCCGTTTTCTCCAATACTGCCGTTATTAGGCACAAACCCGCCTCTGAAGACACATCTGTAAGTCTGGTGCACTGGCAGGAGCCATACTCGCATAGGGAGGACGCGTGCTAGCCCTGACTGTAGCCAGCTTCCCGGCCTCCGGCGTGTCTACCGGGACGAGAGAGAGCCTCCCGGACCATCGACCTCGGGAGCTCTCCCGCACCGTTTAAGCGTTTAAGACCGTTTAAGGAATTGGCGGCCCAGCAGCTCTTAAAACTTGCCATGGCAAGTTTTAAGCCGTTTAAGCCGCAGGCGCCCCAGCGCCCAGGGCCCACACCCTTTTAAGCCTAGGGGTCCCCTCTAAGAGCATGGGGGGATTAAACGATTAGGAGAGAAAGGAGTGCGACTGTGAGCGCCCGTGTGTGTGCGGTGGAAGCGCGCGGGAGGCGGGACACACATACGACCATATGCACACGGCGCACACTAGAGCTGTCAAACGTTAAGAGCTGAACAGTGTTGCTAGTGTTAACAGTAACAACAGAACAACAGTGGGGCTCCCCAACAACAGTAGCTAACGTTAGGCCAGCTGAACAACAATAAGGAAGGCCTGGCAGTGACCCACGACGATCTCCAGCGTCCAGTGCGGGTAATACCCGAAAATACCCGGAAAAACCCAGGTATTTTCGGGTTTTACCCGGGTTTTTGGCATTTTCTGCTTGCTGACCACTGAACAACAGTAACAACAGTAACAAACAGTAACAGCTTGGGCTGGGGAGAACACTTGAACAACGTTGAGGATTTTCAGCCAACAATAGTGCAACTGTTAGGCCCAAAGTTAACGTTTGACAGCTCTAGCGCACACTCCTGACTCCACACACACGCACGCATTATAAAAAGTTACAACGCACAGCTCGGCTGGAATGCTGGAAGCGCTAGCGAGTGGGACGAGGTGGCAAGGTGTGGGGGCTGGGGCCTCCGGCCCATCCGCTCTTATCGACGCGAGGACCCCGGGCAGTCATCATGAACCTATCTCCCTGGTATTTCATCGGGTGGAAGCTGATGTTAGTCAGCCCGGCAGCGCTCGCGAGCTGTCTTAGGCGCTGCCGGCTGATCGGCGCAACGATGGTCCCCTTCGGCTCGCCGTCCGCCTCGATGAAGTGCGTGACGGCGACGGAGCCGCCGGCACTCGCCAGCTTCGCAACGTTCCTCAGTGCGACGGCCATCTCGCTGTGCGTGAGATACATTGCGAGCGAGCCGAACGAGAGGACGTGAGAGTACGCGCCGGCCCTCGCGGCGCAGCCGCCCTTCGAGGAGAGAGGCAGCGCAATGTCGCCGACCCGGAACGCCGCGGCGTGAGCTGGAAAGATCTCGCTGGCTCGCTGGATCGCCTTGGGACTGAAATCACAGCCCGCTGGACGGATCCGGTGCAGGGAGCTGATAGTCTTCAGAACCGCCCCCGCGCCGATGCCCAGCTCGTAGACGAACGCGCCGTCGCGAATGGGCGGGTTGAGACGGTGGACAGCGTCGGCGACAAGCGAGCGGAACTCGGCGGTGCTGAGGTAGGACCATCCGGAGAGGCGGTGCAGCTCGTCGCGCGCCACTTCCCGCTGCTCCGCCTCTCGCTCGAACCACGCATGCAGGAACGGCCGTGTGTGCTCGAACGAGAGAGGAGCAGGCGGCTGCAGTGGTGGCGACGGAGGGTCAGAGTCGCTGTGTCTCAACAAGGCCGACATCGCATCGACAGCAGCAATCGCGTGAGCAGCGTCCAGCGTGCTTGATACACGTGTGAGCAGAAAGAATTTTACCCGCGCCCTGCCCGACACAGCAGAAAGAATTTCGCATCACACTCCTCTCCTTAAAATCCCTGTGTGGTGGCGGCGTGCCGTTCTCCCATCCCTCCCTTGGGTTGTCTGTTTTCTTTCTTTCTTTCTGCAGAAAGAATTTTCTAACAAAACTCCCTCGCACAACACTGGGCACGGGACTGGCGCGCACTGGCACAAAGAAAAAAACACTAAAAACACCGGGAGGCGGCCAGGGCTTCATAGACTCGGTCGAGAGACCCCAGATTGGCATCCATGCCTCTCTGGACAGGGTGGCCCGCCACAAGGACCCCAGGAATTGCGACTCGCCGCTTTCCTCCCGCTGTGATTCTGTGTGAGCTCTGTGTCTTGATTTGCCAACAATATACCTACAACAATAAACCTAAAATAAACATGGGCGATCCGGCGCTTCCTTCGATTGGACGGACGAAATGATCGCGGAAAGCGGGACCGCATCGCGACCTCGGGGTTTCACCATATGCCGAGCCTGCTCGGCCTGCCATGCGCGCGCGCGCCTCGCCCGAGCGCAGCCACCTGCGGACCTGGCCACAGCCTGTTCCTGGCTCGTGCCCAGCCTCTCCTTCCGCTGCCGCCAGCCTCGCAGTCCCGCCAGCCATCACGCTGCAGAGCCTGCGTAGACACGCCACAGACGCCAATTCTGCAGCCCACAGCCCTGGCAACATGAGGGCCAGCAGTATACGACGACGACGACATCTCTCTCAACACGCCGGGACGCAAAACGCTCTCGACGAGAGCCACAAGAAGGCGTCCGCACAGCAAGCCACTCGTCGGACAAGCTTGCTCGGACGCTCGATAATGGCGAGTGCATGGCGCACGCCTTGGACGGTGGCGAAGCCAAAAACACCGATAGTGGCCGTCCGCTGGCGTGAGCGGCGGCAGTCGAGACTCACCCTTCGCGCCGACGACCTAACCTCACTCGGAACAACCTCACCCAAGCACAACCCAACCTAACACGAAACAACCTCACAAAACACTTAAAACCTCACAGAAAGCACGATTCTCAAGTTGGGCCCTCGGCGCCATGCTATCACGCCTTTGCGACATCCTTTCGGCGCTGCTGACCGTGCCATGCTGCACAATTGATCACCTGCAAAGCTCGCGGCCTTAATACCAAGCATTCAGTGACGACCTCAGTGACGACCTGATCGTACGGCCAGTAGGAAGGTGTCCTTCCATCGTGTGCACGCTTCTGGCGCAATGCGCGTCGCCTCGGATTGGCTGCTGGCACTCTCGAGGCTATGCCTACACAGCCTCGCGCGCATGGGCAGTCAAGAGGGAACACGCACCTTCTAGGACAGCGCCGGTGCCTCTCTCTTGGACCGGCAAACTTGGTGGTCTTCGTGTCACCGTACACCGATGTGGGACCAGTGCGGCATCGCGCCATCGACAGCTCTGAACTGCGCCTCACCACTGACCGGGAAGGCCGCCAAGTGGGCCAGCACAGGTCGCGCATTGTGGCAGCAGTCAGCAGTGCATGTCTGATAGCTAGAGCAGCAGCGTCAGGGTCACAGGGTCGGATCGTGTCAAGCCTCTCGCCCGGCCGGCCGCGTGCAGACGTCGGCCTGTCTGCTGTCTGGAGTGATCTGTCGGCGGTCAGTACGACCAATCAGGTCGGAGTTTTCTCATGGTTGGAGGGTCTATCTGTGTGTACTCCTCGAGATCTCTCCAAATCTGCCCTCTATTTAACTGTATTTAATCGGGAAGACGGAAGTTGGTGAGACCGGAGACTAGCGGAGCCGGGGCCCCGTTGTTGCACTGCGGTGCGGCGCACGGTGCCCCCGGGGCCCCCCGCGCCCCCCCAGAGTCCACCGAAACGTTCGTCCACCCAGGAAGGAAGGAGGGGCGCAGCCGCAGGCCGACGGTCGTACGTTCGTCGCCCCAGCCAGCTTCCCTCCCCTCAAATAGCCTTTTAATATCTTAATCCGACCGCGGCACCGCCTGCGCCACCGGGTATACCGACTCGAATGTAAAATGCGCTAAAACTAAAAATCGAAAAAAAGAACCCGCCCGCCGCGACCCCGAGCTCCGTCAAGCGCTCTGCTGTGCGCGCCCCTACCAAACGTATGCCTGCTACGCGGGCCTGTGCCGGCCCCCCTACCAAACGTATGCCTGCTACGCGGGCCTGTCTGTGCGCCGTGGCGCTCCTCGCCGCGACGGCGAGGGCAGAAGATTTCACGGTCAAGCTGACCATACAGGTGGATGAGCGGCGGCGCGAGGCAGTACTCGTGACGGTGAGGGAGGCCAAGGGCGCGCAAGCAGCTGGGCGTTTCCGGCAGTTGGTCAACTCCAAATTCTTTGACGGCTGCGCAATCTTCCGCGTCATCCCTGGCGTGGTGCTGCAGTTCGGCCTTTCGAGCAATCGTACACTGCAGGCGCAGTGGGATGCGCAGCCGCTATCCGACGAGGCGGTGGCTCACCCCGACTGGAACATCCGCGGCTCGGTCGCGTTTGTCGCCTCGGACACTTCGCCTCGTGGCACGCAGCTGATCATTAACTTGGACGACAACCCCAACTTGGACGACAAAGGCTACGTCCCGATTGGCCGCGTTGTCTTCGGCATGCCAACACTTGCCTCCGTCTACTCTGGCTACCGAGACCGACCGCAGCAGGCTGAGATCCGAAAGCGCGGCGGTGAGTACTTGCAGAGCGAGTTCCCGCGCCTCTCGCGCATCGTGTCGGTGCGGCAGGTAGCCTTCGTCGAGGAGCCTCTGGTTATGTCGAAGAACTTCACCGGCTTGCTCATCACCGTGGGCATGGTGCTCGCTGCAGCCCTTTGCTGTGGGCTCAGACGAAGGATCGGCCCGCTCGTCGAGTCGCGCAGCAAGGCGCGCAACATCTTCTCGATAGGAAGCGACCGCCTCAGCGGCGCGCAGGACCAGGACGACGACGACCTCTATGAGAATGACGAAGAGGTCGGCAAGCAGCTGTCAAAGAGATCTAGCTCCTAACAATTGGCCGATGGGTTGCAGCGGCGCGGTGCTGGTGCATGCCGTTGGGGGGACCCTCTTTTGCCCAAATCGCTGACACCTCGTCTCCTCGCGCTCTTCTCGCACCTCTCCCCGGCCATGGCTACCAATGCCTGCACTCTCTTTCGAGCGAGACGTCGCTGCAAGGGTGAAGGAAAAGAGGGGTAGCAGATCGTTGTCGGCGACGACGCTCGACGGGGCATAATCCTGCCAGCCGCAGTGAGACACGTTCATGTGCACCCGACGTGTCGACAACGAGTGACGCAGACAGAGTCAGAGAGGTGTGAGAGCGCACCGCCGACGACCGCGAGAGGCGCGAGACCGACACCACATGCGCACACACACACGCGCGCACACATCGCACACACACATCCACAAACACATGCGCTGAGAGAGATTGTGTGTGAAACAGTGAGGTGGTCGTCTGCTCCTCCAAGCGCACTATACGAGTCTACGTATACTACGACGTATCGGGCTCAGACTAGAGCACTCCACGCACCCACCTCGCTCGCGAGCCGATCTTTTCAGACGAAATTGAAACCTCCTCGAGCAAATGAACCACTTCATAGAGTTCGTACTCGTAGCGTGTGCTCAGACAGCCTCTAGGTAGGTCGGTAGGTAGGAAGGTGAAGAACAGTCACGCTCGGACTGGACACCAACGCGGTATGGGTGGGGACGCGAACAGAAGATGACGACACGCCTCTGCCCCGAAGGAGGTTGTTGCAACTGAAAAAACCTCGCGGAAGGGCGAGCCCTAAAATCTACTGTTTGCGGTTTCATCTTCGCCGCGAGGCAAGGGCCCAAGCCGGAAAGAGCAGCAGCGCGCAGCAGCGCGTGCGGCGGCAGCAGAGCAGCAGCAGCAGCACATGGCTGAGGAGCCGTCGCCGACGCCCCAGGAAGAGCTGGAGGCCTTCTACCACGGCCCGATTGCGGCGCCTCACCCTCGCATTGGAGTCTTGCAATTTCTAGCTGCAGACTCTCGCATTGTAGGAGAATAGGCTCTCACCGCGGAGTATGTTGAGATCACGGAGCGCCTCGCCTCGGTTGGAAATCCTGGATTTCCAATCACCACCAAATCCCATGCTGACCTCGAAGCATGGCAGCTAAAATCCCAGGATTTGGACACATACGGACGCACAACCGCCTCAACAGCTCGCGAGGGACAAGCTAGCCGCTAGCTTGTCCCTAGGTGGGCCTCTCCTTCTTTAGCGAGCTGCTTTGCCAGACGCGCCTCAAGCTCGAGCGGTGAGCGACCTCCACTCCATTTTAGGATTTCACTTCCACGCACCTCTCAATCACGATCCTCTCACACAGGTTGCTGGACGAGAAGGCGCAGCGACAAGCCAGCATTGGGGCGGTCACGGAAGCAGCCAGCGGAGAGGAGTGAAGCGGTCTTTGGTAATTCAGTCAGGGTCGTGCTCCCATGGACGCGGGGTTTAACGGTGGGCCGCGGCGGGGTCTCGGTGTGCAGACTGCACTCTGCCTCGAGGGCTCTGTGCCTCCTGCCTGAGCCTCTGGCGTGCGGTGCTGCACCACGACGCCCGAGAGTTAAATGTGTGGAGACAGATGATGACTGCACGTCGGCACGGGGCATTTTCAATTTGCATGATTCACGACAAGATCGATTAATTAGACAGTAAGAAAATCGGCTGTGGCGTCTCGTCTCAGGACTCAGCACTGCAGGGAGTCGTGTCACGAGACACCCTCGAGCTCGTCACAGAGTGACAGACAGAGACACAATGCGTGACAGCCACCCCACCGTGCGGTGCGGGTGGAGGGTATGCTGCAAACAGCAGCCGGCCTCCGACCAGCCGACCCAATCCTCGTCGTCGCCTTGCCCCCACCGTGTGTGGCGTGCGCTGTGTGTTGCGCATCAGTCGAGAGTGCACGTGCGACGGCGCCACACAGCGTGCCCGCCCGAGGAGTGCTGCTGCTGCTGCTGGAGTGAGGAGGGCCGTCACGCGTGCGCCACGCCTCGCTCCGCCTCCATCTCGGCGTAGGCGGTGAGCAGCGAAGCGAGCTCCTCGCGCAGCGTCTGCACCGCTAGCGAGAGGACGTGCTCCGCCTGTGCAAAGAGCCAGTTGTCAAAGAGCCAGCTGTCCATCAGCGCGCGTCCACTGCTCGCCGACAGCGCGCGAGGCCCGCCTCGGAGGCGGAGGCGGAGGCGGACGGGCCGGCGGCCGCCATCGCACCGAGCGCCGAGCGGCCTCGCGCGAGCAGGGAAGCCGCGTCTTGCTGCAGCTGGACAAGCGTCCGCTTGAGGTGCGGCTGCGGCTCGAGCGAGCCCGCCCGCATCGCCTCCACCGCCTCGGTCGCCTCGGCAGCCAGGGCGCGGAGCGCGCCCATCTGCTCGCGCGTGCGGTGGAGGTCCGCGAGGGCGCGCCTGCGGTGCACGTCGCGGACGTGTCGCGGACGTGTCCCGTGGACGGGTCCCGCGGTGGACGGGTGCCGGTCGGCGAGCGGCGCGCCGGATCGCCCCTCCGGCGGGCTGGGCGGCGGAGGGTGGGTGGATGGGATGGGCGGCGGCCCGGTGGGCGAGCGTCGCGCGGGCCGAAGGTACGGCCGCCGTCCCGCCTGCCGCCGTCCCGCCTGCCTGCAGCGGCCGGTCGAAGGGCCGCCGCGGGGAGGGGGCCGAGGAGGGGGAGGGGGGGAGCTTTGCCCCCGGGGCGGCGGCGCTCAGCGGCGCCGGAGGCTCGAAGGGCTGCGCGGTGGCGGAGAGGCCGGCGCGTTGCGGGGGAGGGGGCGTGCGCCCGGTGGCCCGCCGCAGCAGCTCCGAGCGGCGCCTGCTCTCCGACGCCTGCAGGAGATGTGGCGCTCACCTCACGGGACGAGCCCCTCGGCTGGTCCCCGCCTCGAGTCCCCCTCCGGTCGCCTGCCGCTCGAGCCACGCGCCCTGCTCGGCGAGCTTGCGCTGCTCCTCAAGCATCCAAGCCTGCTCCGCTGCTGAGGGCGAGTTGCGCGCCGCCTCGCCGCCCGCCTCGAGGCTGAGCGCCGTCTCGACTGCCGCCGCCGCCGCGCCCTGCCTCGCCGCGTGCTGCTCCGCCTCGTGGCGCAGCCAGCGCTCCTCCTCGAGGGAGACGGGGGAGGGGAGGGCCGCGGCGAGGGGGGCGGACGCGGAGGAGCCGCCTCGCTCCGCCAGAATCGAGCGCAGGACGGCGACCCGCTTCTCCGCCTCGCTCGCCTGCCGCTCGAACCAGGCCGCCTCCTCCTCCGCCTTGCCCATCTCCGCCTCGACCCACTCCTGCTCGTCGCGCGCGGGCTTGCCCGCCTCCTCGCTCGCCGCCAGCCGGGTCATGGCCACAGCGGCGGCCGCGGCCGCCTCGCGCGAGACGTGCCTCTCCACCTCGACGCCGAGCCAGCGCTCCTGCGCCGCCGAGAGCGGAGAGGGCAGCGGCGCGGCGGCGACCGCCCTGCGCCGAGCCGCGTCGGACACCTGCCGCTCGAGCCAAGCCTGCTGCTCCTCGGACTTGCCAATCTCCGCGTCGATGAACGCCTGCTCCTCACGCGACGGAAGCTCCTCCCGCGCCGCCTTCTGCGCCGCCGCGCGCGCCAATGCCGCCGCCGCGTCGGCCGCCGCGTTCTCCTCCACGGCACGCTCTGCTATGGCACGTTTCCGGAGCGCGATTGCGCGGAGCTTGGCCTCGAGGGCCTCAATCTCGCGCGCCGTGCCATCCGCGGCGGCGGTCAGGGCAGCGAGGCGCTGAGCCGTAATCGTGGTCGTACTCGCCTTCGTCATCGTCTCTCTCTCGCCTGGCGAGCGAGCCCTCGAACGACCCTCTCGCGCAGGTGCTGTCTAATGAGTACTTTGCCGCCAGCTCGCACCTCCAACCCAAGAGGGTTCCGGCACGGGGGGCCCCGGGGCACCTCTTGGTCGACTCCGTACCCAACCGAAACCCTCGCTCCGCAACGACCGCCACGGTCTGTTGCGAGGCCTTCCAGAAGCCGACGTGGTGGCCGCGGGCCGAGGTCAGGAACTCGTCGATCAGCGCTGCGAGGTCCTCCTTCCTGCTCCTCCGCGCAGAGAGGGTCGTAGAAAACTATTCTCGTCCTGAGGAACCTGCAAGTCGCGTGGGCGACGACGCCTCGGCCGGAGACGAAGCGCTCGAGGTCTGGATCGAAGGCGACCGAGAAGGCGTTGGCGCGGTGGCCGTGCTGCAGGTAGAAGAGCTCGACGGCGCGATGAGGCAGCAGCGGAGTGGGAGCAGTCGGCGACAGCTGTACTACCGAGACGAGGTGCCCTCGCAGGGTTCCGGCTCCTACCCAGATAGAGTCGCGCCAAAACGCCCTACCTACCTACCTATTGCGGGCGCCAACCGCCAGGCTCCGTGCCCCACCTACCTACCTCTTCCCAGGCCGCGCTGCGAACGAAGCGAAAAATACCCGTTGAGCCCTCTGTGAATAGGCTCGCAGCGCCCGCCGCACCCGTCTCGGCTGGCGTCCCAACCGCAGGCGACTCGTCTGGCATGGCCCCGTTCGCGGCTAAACGCGCCGTCTCCCGCCCGCGCGAGCGGAAGCGGTTTTCCCACTCCTCTCTTCGGGTTTTTTACCCCCCCCGCCCCCCCCCCCACCACACGCACACCGCCACTACCAACCTACCTATTGCAGGGCCCTCTGGGGCGGTCAAAACCGGACCTATCTACCTATTGCACAGGGTCTAACGGGTGGGGACAGACCCCCTATCTAGGTAGGAGCCGGAACCCAGCGCACTCCGTCTTTCTCATCTTTCTGAAAGAAGAAGGCCTAGTTTATCTCGTGCGGGCGCCCTCAAACCCTATAGGGTTTGCCTTCGTCCCCGCGCGGCCCCAATGCCGGGCTCTGCGCCGGGTATTTCGGGCGCCGAGAGTGGCCTGGCCCCGGACCCACCCCCGGAGGCCGATGGTGACATGCGCCGCGACGCTTGGGCTCAAGCAGGTTTGCCTCTCGCACCTCGTCTCTTTTCCTTTCCTTTTTTCTCTACAACACCCTCTCCTTTCCTCTCTAATTTCCCGGGAAAACTGCGTGGAAATCGTCAAATTTTTGGTTCTGAGCCGAGTCTGAGGCTGGTTTGGGCCCAAAATCAGCCTAATTTTAGGCCAAATCGGCAAAATGCCGGGAATTTCGCGGAGAACCCGTGTATACCTGGAAATTACCCTGCGACCGCCTGGGTATTTTGTCGATTTCCTCAATTTTGCCTCAGATTTTGCCCCAGACCAGCTCTCAGACTCAGGGAAACTCGCGAGTTTCCAGAATGGAGCACCAAACACCCTCTGTTTTCCCTGGAAATTTCCGGAAACGCAAAGTGCTGGGGACCCTCTGTTTTCCTTTTTGTTCTCCGGAAAACCTGCTTGAGCCCAACGCGACGCAGTCAGTCCGCCTCCTGGAGGCTGCGTCGCCGGGTGCCGTCAACGCAGTGCTCGCGATGTTGCGCGCAATGGAGACTGGGCAGTCCTCGGGCGGTGGAACCGACTCGGGCGCAACAGTACGCCACCCTACTCTCTGACTTCGCGGAGCGAAGAAAATTCCGACGGGGCCAATGCCAAGAGAGAAGAACTCCTCCAACGCCAGTGCGCAGGATCAACTATCTATGGACCGTCGGCGGGCATGAACACGTCGACCCCGGCGTCCGCAGTCTCCGAGTCGGTGCGCTCGACGCCGCGCAGCGGCCGCACATTTCACGCGGAATAGGGGAGGATACCAGACTGCGCCACAAGAGCCGGAAAAAAATTCTTCGCCCACACATTGCACACATCAGTGTCGGTGCCGCCCAACTCCTCTCGCTCACTGATGCTCGGACTGCTGGCGCTCTGCCACGCCGCGGTCCCGCCGGCTCCTTCGTCCTCCGCCGCCTGGATGCAGCGCTCGCACTGGATTCCGCACAACGACTCCGAGCGGACCGCGCGCTTCATGCGGCTCCTGCCCAGCCTCGGCCTCCACTGCCCAAAGGTGGGTGTCTCCACCTTCTGGTACCCGTCGATCGGGCGGCGGCTGCGCGGCGCGGTCGCGCTGGAGCCGATCGCCAAGCACGAGGAGGTCTGCGTCGTGCCGCTCGCCAACATGATCTCCTTCCTGTCAGTGCAAAACTCGTCGTTTGCGCCGGTGCTGCGGATGGCCGACAAGGACGTCAGCCAGCGCGGGCTGTGGGAGGCGCGAGAGCCTGACGCCGCCGCGCGCCTCCTCCCGCGCGCCGCCGCGCGCTGCTCACTCTCTTGCCTGCCATCGCAGGCCGCCGCCATCTCGCTCTTCATCCTGCGCGAGGGAGCGCGCGACTCGTCGCCTCACGCGGCGTACATCCACGCCTCCTTCTCCGGGCACGACCCGGCGAGCATCCCGAAGACGCTGCCGCCCGACTCGGACGCCTTCCGCGCGCTCAAGCCCAGCGTGCAGGCCACCGCGCGCCGCTTCCAGGTGCGGCCGCCGAGCTCTCCCTCCGCCTCTGCGACGCCACGCCTCTTCACGCGCGCAGCCGTGAACAATAGCCGTGAACAGTCTCCGTGAACAGGCGCGGGTGGCGGCGCTCCACCAGCGGCTCATCGCGCCGGCGCTGCAGCAGCACCCCGCCGCCTTCGCCGAGGGAGGCGCGTGCGACCCGACGGCGGCCGCGTCGGCGGACGGCGCGGCCTCGCCTCGCTCCTGCGCGTCGCTCTACTCGCTGCGGCGCGTGACAGAGGTGCTCGGGGTCGTGCAGGCGAGAGGCTGCTTCCGAGACCCGCCCAGGACCTGCCCCAGACTCCTCCCGCGCCTCCCTGCAGGCGCGCGACTGGAACCTGCCCGTCTTCGGCCGCACGCGCCAGTTCATCGTCCCCGTCTGCGACATGCTCAACTTTGGGCAGATCGGGCTGCGAGTCCGCTTCGACGACCGGCGCAGCGCGCCCAGCTCCCCTGCCGCGTCGCCCGGCCGCAAGCTCACCGCCCCTCGCGCGCAGGCGCTCCTCCTTCCTCCTCTGGGCGCTGCGACCAATCGCTGCGGGCGCGGAGCTGCTCTTCTACGACGGCGGCCTTGAAGAGCGTCTCTTCACACCTCGGGCTGTGAACAGGCGCGGAGCTGCTCTTCTACTACGGCTCGTTTTGCCAGGACGAGGCGCTCTCCAACTACGGGTTCGTGCCGCCCGTCTCGCGGCCGTGTGAAGGCTCCTCCAAGAGCAAGCACAAGGGCTCGAAGCACAAGGGGATGCCCTGACTCGCTGCTCGGGTGGGCTTGCCGCTGCTTGCCGCTCCCCTCGCGTCTGGTGCGCGATGGATGACCCTCTGGTTTGAGCGAGGGAGGGCCGCCGAGCCCCTCAGTCTGCTGCGTCGCTCGACGCCTTCCTTCGCGCATTGGACCGCCACCCCGCGCACGTATAAATAGGGACATCAGCACGGGAAGACGGCGTTCTGATCCACGCCAGCGCGCGCGTGGGCTCGATCTGTTCGTTGCCATACAACTTGGACGCACGGTGCGACACGTCTGCCCCCGCACCTGGTGCGCGCAGTGTGCGGTACAGGGCCGTATTTTGAGGCGAGACGGCAGACGCGGGAGCGATGGCCGGTCCGATGCCTTTTTTATTGGTCAGTTTCAACTCGGGTGGTCGGGTTCACCGCGGGACAGCGCGGCGGCAGGCCGCAGCCGCCGCCAGCCCTTCGGCTTCGCGCGCACGCCGGCGCGGGGCCCACACGCCGCACACGGCGGCGGCGCGCGCGGCCCGCGGGGGGCACGGGAAATTTTGGTGAGACGTCTCTGTCTCACACGGCTCACGGGTGTTTCGTCCCTGTCTCACTTGCATGATTTTTTCCGTCTCTCTGCGTCTCTCCAAGCGTCTCTCTGCTGTCACAGTGCTGAGTGTCAGTGTCGCCGGTGCGTCTCAGATGCGTCTCACATTCGTCTCTTTCGGCCGCGTATCACTCAGTCTCACGGCTGGGCTGAGAAGCGTCACAATTCCTGAGCGAAGTGAGTCGTCTCACTTCCGTCTGAGACAGTGCTGAGCCACAATGAGACGTGGCGCAGGGCGGGGTTTGCGACGCCACAAGCCGCTGCTTGACTGAGTCGTCTCAGGTCCGTAGAGACCATGCTGAGCCAACCTGAGACGTAATTGTGAGACAGTGGCGATTGGGGAGACTCAACTCAGGCTGTGTCTGAGGTGCGGCCTGGCGGGTCTCGGTGAGTGTAGACGAACCCCAAGCATAATCGCGCTCTCTGGCTCAAACGGCGCGTAGCCGCCGGTTGCTCTATCGCGCTCTCAGACGCAAACGGCGGGCGTAGCCGGTTGCGCTCGCGGGCAGGGCGGTTCGGGTTAGTGCCCAGGCACTCGTAAAGCGTCGAGGTCGCCGGCCAGCGAGGCCACGGCCTTGATCATCAGGGCGTGGATCACGCTCCGCTCTGGCAGCGACTCGGAGGTGGTGACTACCTGGCCGCTCTCCCCGTCGTCGTTCTCCTGAGAGTCGCCTCGTGTGCAAGCCTGGACCCGCTGTTGTTTTGCGAGTTGGAGGCGACGCTTTCGTAGCGCGAAGAGCGCACCGCCGAGGCAGAGGAGCCCCGCCACGACGGCGCCGATGGTGGCGCCGATGGCGGCGACCTTGATCCCCCCAAAAGAAAAAAGCCTTGCCCCAACGGCCTTTCCACACAAGGAAGCGCACAATTGTGAACGGTGACTTTAGATGTGCGTCACCACGCGCGAGTCGTAAGGCAAGCCAGCACTTTCCTCGTCCGCTCGCGCTTGCCGCGCCGCATCGCGCCCGACTATGCCGCCGCGAGCTGCACGCCTAGACCCCCGCGACGCCTATCGCTCACGGAACCCGCCGCCCCCTCACCTCCCCCACCACGCGAGATGCGCCTCTGCTCGCGGCGCGAGCGGCTGTCCCCCCCCCTTGGCCTCGCACCGCCTGCCTCCCGCTCGCAGGTGCAGCCGCTGCCATTGAGGAGGGCGCGAGACGCGTCCGCTGCTGCCCATTCCCCACCCTTGTCCCGCGCGACCGCCCACCCTCACTTCTGGCAAGAGAGCGATCCCCCTTCCGCTCGGCGCTGGCCCCGCCGCATCGACGCACATATGGCCGCGGGGAGCTGCGCCTCTGACTCACGCAACCCGCCGCTCCCTCTCCGCTCCCACCATGCGATGCGCTTCGCTTTGGCGCCCGACGGCCCGAGCGGCTTCGCCCCCTCTCGGCCTCACACCGGGGGGGCTCACTTGAAGATCGGTGGGTCAATTCGGGGTAGGCAACCCATGAAGAAGCTCCTCGGCGCGCTCATCGCTGCTTCCGCGGCCAGCTTTTCCGTGCTCCCCAACGCTTGGTCTGTAGAACTGGCACCACCGGCCGGCTGGCCCGACGACCTGAATACGACCGCGCGGACATCGTCTCTTTTTACCACGGTGCCGGAAGTCATCGCTTCTTATGTCACGGTGCCGGAAGACTGCGACAAGACCGTAAACGGCCGGTCCTGCAAGGACATGATGGATATGGCTTGCGATTGCCTGCCTGCAGCCTGGCGTGCAGCATGTGGCACCTGCTGCAGGCCACCAGGAAACGGACCAGGTCAAGCGTGCGACCCCATCAACAACAACCAGTCCCGGATGTGCACCTTTAATATTCTGTATGGTAATGGCCTCGACCCTTGCAGTTCATGCGCATGCAAAGAATGTTCCTTGTGCCTCCAGTAGACCTGCTCACACTCTGCGGACTTGGACAAGCGGGCTTGTGTGCGCAGCTGTCGAAGGAAGTGGGTCAGAGCGACCAGTTGCCGGCCGCGTGGCGGTGCGCGACGACGTAAGGTACGTGGTCGGGCCTGGGCGCGCCCGGGAGCAGGGGTCGGCGCCGGCCGGCAAGCTAGCAGGGACACCTGTGGCTACGGACCACCGACGGTCCATGACTTCCGACTCCCCCCTCCCAGACCTTTGCTAATTCCGTCTTAGCGACGTGGGCGTTAGCTCTCGGAGGGTGTAGATGGGCTTCGGGCAGAAGTGAAATTTTGCTCCTGTGTAACCTATAGAAAAAAGTGGTGTTGCGGGTCTGGGGTGGGTGGTAACCCCAATTTTTGCCAGGCCTACGGGATTTGGGCACTTAACTTTATAACCCTAGTTGGCGCAGGAAGGTGTATGTACTTCTTGCTTGGGGCTTGGGCGGCAGCCTGAGCTGGCCTCCCCCAAAGCCAAACACAAGCTGTCTTGGCTCGGTGGCGAAGCGGTTCTCCTGACCTCGGTGGCGGTGTGGAGCACTACGCTCTCGCCCTCTGTTCGTCGCGGCTACGCCCTCGGCTTGATGAGTACTTTGCACCGACCGCTCCGAGGTGAGGCGTGTCGGACGATCCCCATTAATCGCGCTCCCTGGCCCAAACGGCGCGTAGCCGGTTGCTCTCGTGGGCAGGGCGGTTTGGGCTAGTGCCCAGCACTACGCTCTCGCCCTCTGTTCGTCGCGGCTACGCCCTCACGCCTCAGCTTGATGGGTACTTAAAGCACGCATCGCCCCAGCAGTGCGCAGCCGTGGCCCGCGCCGCAACGCCGCCGCCGACACCGCCGCCGGCGCCGCCTGTGCCAACGCCACCGCTGCCCTCCCCGCACGAGCACCCACCTCGCCGGCTCGCCGCCACCCATGCTGTCGCCGCCCTCACCCCTCTGCCGACCGCGCTACAACTGGCTAGCAAAGACGACGCAGCCTATAGTCTCGACTCTCCCGCCAATGTCTCACGATTGCGTCTCAGGTTGGCTCATGGCATGGTAAGATGGTATCTGACAACGGCAGCGGCTTGTGGCCGCGTCTCACACCCGTTCTGCGCCGTGTCTCATCACGCCGTGGCTCAGCACAGTCTCAGAAGCAAGTGAGACGAGTCGCGCTCCTTGGCGCAGCAACTATGCCGTTGTGAGACCGAGTGAGACGAGGATTGCCGCTTGTTCACCGTGAGACGAGTGTGAGACGCTCTGAGAGGAAAGGAGGAGACGTAGTAGAGACGACAGTGTCACACAGCAGGGGTGAACATTTGTCTCACTGGTGTCTCAAACACGTCTCTGAAGGTGACTGTGCCGTGTGTGTGACATCCTTGAGACAAAGTGAGACTGTTGCTGTGACCAGGCTGAGACAACGCAGAGATCGGTGAGAGTCCGTGAGACATTACTGAGACGCATTTGTGGCACAGCGTTGAGACAGGGACGAAACACCCGTGAGACACAGAGACGTCTCACCTGTTCGCCCCCCACGGGGGCACGGCGCGCACGGGCGCACCGCTCCGGCACCGCCCCTCTGGGCCGGCGCGGGGGCCCCAGAGGGTGTCCATGCGGGTGGGAGATGGGGTCCCATGGCCCGCCACAGGCGCCGATTTTTTTAAATTTTTTGGCGCGATTTTTTACTTGTTTTACCCATCTCACAGTAGAGAGGTGTCCGTTTTTATTTATTTATTTACTTGTTTTCATGGGTATTCGGCGTTCTTGCGGCCACATGCTATCACGCCTTTGTTTGCGACATCCTTTCGGCGCTGCTGACCGTGCCATGATTCACAATTGATCACCTGCATAGCTCGCGGCCTTAGTATCAAGCAGTCAATGACGACCTGATCGTACGGCCAGTAGGAAGGTGTCCTTCCATCGTGTGCACGCTTCTGGCGCAATGCGCGTCGCCTCGGATTGGCTGCTGGCACTCTCGAGGCTATGCCTACACAGCCTCGCGCGCATGGGCAGTCAAGAGGGAACACGCACCTTCTCAGGACAGCGCCGGTGCCTCTCTCTTGGACCGGCAAACTTGGTGGTCTTCGTGTCACCAATGTGGGACCAGTGCGGCATCGCGCCATCGACAGCTCTGAACTGCGCCTCACCACTGACCGGGAAGGCCGCCAAGTGGGAGCAGCGTCAGGGTCGCAGGGTCGGATCGTGTCAAGCCTCTCGCCCGGCCGGCCGCGTGCAGACGCGTCGGCGTGTCTGTGATCTGTGATCTGTGAGGGTCCGCCCGCAGGCGCATTTTGTATACCGAGGCGGTGCCCGGTGCCGAGCGCAGGCAGAGCCCACAGGTCGGACCTTAAGACAGCGTTGTAGATCCCTGGGCGAGGGTGATGGCGTCCCCGTCGGGTCAGGGCTGAAGGCGGGGGAGACCAACCCGATCTCTCCGGCGTCCCGGGAGCGTGATTGACACCTCCCCCCGTGCCAACAGCCCCATGGAGGTAGGCCGCTCGTCTAGCCAATCAGCCTTAAGCGAGCGGTCTGGCCGTTGGAATGGCCGAGAGTGTCGGCCGGCCGTTCGGTCTCTTCCCCGGGGGGGGCCTCAATGACCTAGTTGCCCGGCCGAGAAGGGGAGGACGACTGTCTCTGACGGCGAACCTCAGTTACGAGCCGCCCTCCCCTCGAGACGCGAGGCCGGCGCACTTGGGGCCCGAGCCCCAGCGTGCACCGTCCCACACGCCTCACGCGGCCTCTGGCTGGAGCGGGATCGCAAGCGAGTCCCCCAGGCCGGCGCGCGTCTTCCGAGAGAGGAGCAGGAGCGAGGGAAATTCTTAGTAAGCCGGCATGCAGATGCATGCACGGCCGTTCAGAAACTCTCCAGCCGTTGGAATGGCTGCGCTCCCGCCCCTCACCGGGCCGAACGGGTAGTAGGCGTTGGCGCCGAAGAGGGAGGAGCCGCCGAAGGACGGGTAGTCGTCGGTCATGCGGGGGGAGGAATCGTCGGCGAGCAGCAGGGAGGAGAAATGCCTGAGAGGGTGGGGAGGGAGGCGTGAGGCGCGAGGTGAGGGGCGTGGGGGCGCGGGCGCGGGTCGTGCGCGGGTGGGATGCGAGGCGTGAGGCGCAGGGCAGGGGCAAGGTGTTTTGTGTGTGGGGGGGGGGGGAGTTTGTGCGAGGGCAGGGCAGGGCAGGGCAGGGCGGCGGCGAGCGGCGAGCGGCGTCGGCGAGATCGGCGACGAAGAGAGGCGATGGTGACGTACACGGCGGCAGTGTTCACGGCAGCAGCGCCGGTGGCGGCCCCGCGCAGCGGCGGCGGCGCCCTGAGTGAGGCAGACCGTGCCCCCTGCACAGCCTGCTGGGAACGCTCCCGACGAGCGGCGAGCCATGCGGGCCCGCCGCGGGCGACGCGGGCGGCGAGCCGACACGCGTGTCGCAGGCGTAGACAGCACTGGCGAGCGAGGCGGCCGGCGCCGGCCCCGGAGGCGGCTGCAGTAAGAGCAGCGAGGCAGAAGTCACTGTCCAAGGCGTACTGAGCAGGCTGCCATCGAGCAGCGCGCCATGCGGGCCTGCCGCCGGCGACGAGATTGGAGAGCCGACAGGCATCAAAGAGGTAGGTACTGAGGAGGGCCATCGCGCCCGAGGCGGTCCGCGCCGGCCCTGCAGGCCGTCTCAGAGAGCCTGGCGGGGCTGTACAGAATGCCAAGAGCATACTGAGCAGGCTGCCGTCGAGCGACGAGCCATGCTGGCTCGTCGCAGGCGATGAGGTCGAGGAGCCGATCGGAGCGTCGCAGAGGCTGCCGACCAACTGCCGTTCGCCCTCGGGCCCAGGGGTGGAAGGCAAGCTTCCTGGCGTTTCTGGCGAGCGTCCAGACGTTGCAGAGCATCCGGCAGGCGCGCAGCGACCCAAATTTTTTGCTCACCGCACGGCCGTGCGAGCCGTCGGTCGGCGGCGGTGGGCGTCATGTGGCGGGCGTGCGTGTCCAGACATTGATCATTGTGCGAATTTCGGCGGTTAGTTGGCCTGTCCGGCGTGTCTGCTGTCTGAGTGATCTGTCGGCGGTCCTCAGTACGACCACGATCAGGTCGGAGTTTTCTCAAGTCATGGTTGGAGGGTCTATCTGTGATCTGTGATCTGTGAGGGTCCGTCCGCAGGCGCATCGTCTAGCCAATCAGCCTTAAGCGAGCGGTCTGGCCGTTGGAATGGGTATAATTGGCCACGGCAACCTGGGCCTTCATATCGTTGATTTGCTGTGCTAATTCCTTCACAGTGCGCAAATTCTCCGCCTGTCTCTTCGTTACCCGCTCTTGATTCTTTATCTCGTTCAAAGACGCATCCGAGGAGGGGAGGACGACTGTCTCTGACGGCGAACCTCAGTTACGAGCCGCCCTCCCCTCGAGACGCGAGAGGCCAGCGCACTCGGGGCCCGAGCCCCAGCGTGCACCGTCCCACACGCCTCACGCGGCCTCTGGCTGGAGCGGGATCGCAAGCGAGTCCCCCGGGCCGGTGCGCGTCTTCCGAGAGAGGAGCGGGAGTATCTGTATGTAACAACACCCTATGTACACTCCTCACAAGTGTCAAGATCTCTCCACATAAAGCATAATCTGCCCTCTATTAACCGTATTTAATCGGGAAGTCGGTGTGGTATTTGTGACGAGCGAGTGTATGAGCGCCGGAGCCCCTTTCCGCACTGGGCACTGCTGCGGCCTGCGCGGCGCACGGTGCCTCCGGGGGCCCCGCGTCCCCCCAGAGCACCGCCCGCGGACAGACAGATCAGACACATACGCAAAACTGGAGATACGTTCTATCACTATCTCCCCATCTCACGCCCGGTCCCCGGCGCACCGCGTGTCATTGCCGCACACCCACCAAAGACAGCGATCTATCCTGCTAAAACCACGTACGCAAGCTTCTCCCCCCTCGTACTCTCCCCGCGCGTCAGCTGCCTTCCGCGCGCTGGTCTCGCTCCGCCGCAGCGGCCCACCGCAGGTAGGCGTTGATGAAGCCTCCGAGCTCGCCGTCGAGCACGGACTGCACCTGAGGCGTTCGTGCCCCGTTACATTCAACCACTTTGTTATGACTGTTGAAGTGAGTATGATAGTAACGGCCTCCGCCTGCGGAGTCTCGTGGCCCGTGCGCGCGTCCTTGACCATCTTGTACGGCGCGAGGACGTACGACCGGATCTGCTGCCCCCACTCGGCCGCGATCGCCTCCCCCCGGATCTGCGCGAGCTCGTCCACCCGCTGCGCCTCCATCGCCTCGAGCATCCGCGCCTTGACCATCGAGATTGCAATCTCGCGGTTCCGCGCCTGCGACCGCTCCTGCTGGCACCGCACCACCAGCCCCGACGGAAGGTGCCTCACCCGCACCGCCGTCTCAACCTTGTTGACGTTCTGGCCGCCCGCGCCTCCCGCTCGCATCGTCGTCACCTCTAGGTCGGCGGGCGGGATCTCCACCCGGCCCGCCTCCTCCTCGCCCAGGAGGGGCATCAGCTCGACGCCCGCGAAGCTGGTCTGCCGCTTGTTGGCCGCGTTGAAGGGCGAGAGCCGCACGAGCCGGTGCGTGCCTACACGCGACGCGTCGGGCGCGTGTCACGCGCCAAGGGCTGCGTAAGCTACCCCTACCCCTACCCCGACCCCTGGCGGCGGCCGCGCCTCGCTCCGCCTTGAGGTGGCCGTAAGCGTACGGGCCGTCGATGGTGAGCGCCGCCGACTTGATGCCCGCCTCCTCGCCCTCGGTTCTCTCCGTCAGCGTCACGCGATACCCGCTCGGGTGGCCCTCCGCCCACCGCCTGTACATCCGCAGCAGCATCTCGGCCCAGTCCTGCGCGTCCACGCCCCCCGCGCCCGCAGTGAGAGTGAGCACCGCGCCACACGAGTCGTGCGCGCCGCCCATCAGCGAGCGCAGCTCCCACGCATCGAGCTCGCCGTCGAGGCTGGCAAGCGCCGCGGACGCCTCCTCCACCAGCTCAGCCTCCTCGAGGTCGGCCGCCGCCTTTGCGTCCTCGACCGCCGCCTCCCACCGCGCCGCCTGCTCGAGGACGGCTCTGTGCTCTGCGAGGGTCCGCAGTGTCGCCTCCGCCGCGTCCGCGTCCTCCCAAAAGCCCTCACTCGCCGACTGTGCCTCGAGCTCGCCCGCCGCCGCCCGCCTGCGGTCGAGGTGGAGCAGCTCTCCCGTCTCGCCGATGCGGGCGCCGACGCTGGCGATCGCCTCATGCAGGCTCTGCTGAGGCTGATCGATCGCCAGCGCGACGTTGTGGCGGCGGTGGCGCAAGCTCGGCGCACGCAGATGGGCGAGGAACAACATGTGCCGTGTCGAATTTTTCCTTTCCCTTTTGTTTTTTACTCGCTCGATTTTCTTCCGGCTTCTGCCCCTTCTGGCTCCTGCGGGCTAGCAAGCGAAGAGCAGAGCTGCCGAGCGCCGAGGAAGCGCAAGCGTGACGAAGCGCCGTAATAAACTGGGCCTGCATATGGCACCATCTCCGCTCCGCCTCGCGACGGTCCTGCTTCACGCGGCCGCCTCCGCCGCGTTCAGCCTCCCGGCGCTGCCTTCTCGCGCCGCTCCTCGCTGTGCTGTGGCGTGCGGCTTTTCGGTCGACACCGTCGACCAAAAGGCGATCGAGGATCTCGGCGTCTTCAACTGGCCCGGCCTCGAGCGGCGCGTGCAGGACTTTGCCGATGCGGCCGTCTCGGGGAAGCTCAAGATGGTGTACGTAAAGTCAGGCTCCGCAACCATCGAGGACGGAGAGGACTCGGCTGACATCAGCGCCGGCCAGATGGTGATGATCGACGACAAGGGCGAGACGCGGTGGTCCAAGATCTCGGAGGAGGGACTGGTGCTTCTCTCCTGCGAGACGGTGCTCGCGGAGGAGGGTGCTGCCGCTGAGGAGGCTGTTGCTGCCAGCGCGGGCCAGCGCGACCTGAGCGGCAAGCCGCTGGGCGATGCGATCCAGGAGGACTCGCTCGACGTAACCCTCGGCGGCCTACTCACGCAGCTAGCGCTGGGACTCGCGAGTGGAGGCATGCTCGCCGTCGGCGTCAAGCTCTTTGTCACGCCTGACTCGCCGTAGCTGCGTGCGGCGTGTGGGCGTGTGGTGTCAATCCTAAAGGTAAAAGCGTGTTGCCGCTGCCAATGGCCAATGCGCCCAAATCGGCGTCTCTCTCCCGCCTCCGCCCTGGCTCGCTCTCTCGCGTTTTATTTTCCTGTACACCCGTGAAGTTACTTTAGTCTTTACACATGCATGTCCCCGACCCCGCCCGCGCGCCCAAGCCGGAGGCGAGCTAGCAGCTTACGCCGCGTCTTCCCCCCCCTGCGCGCGCGCCCCCGTTACCGAGACGGTGCGAACATATACATCAACACTGCACCCCGCGCAATATATAAAAAACGCGCGACGTAAACCGTTTACTTAATGCTGGTCCTCCTCGTCCGACTCCGAGGAGCCACTGCCCTCCGCCTCGATGACGCCCGTCTCGTAGGCGCGCGCGGCCCGCTCCGCCGCCCGGTCGATGCGCTCGAGCTCGCGGTCGGTGTGGTGCCTCGCCGAGGCCGCCTCCTCGCAAAAGGAGCCCAACATCTGCTCCTCCACCTCCGTGATGGCGCCGAGCAGCACCAGCGAGTGGAGGGGAGGCCCAAAGTCCACAGAGCGCAGCTCGCCCAGCGTGCCGTGCACGCACACCTGGCTCTCCGTCCCCACGCGCGCCACCCCAATCGCGCGCGACGTCGCGCCCACGCCCGAGCCCGGCCTTGTCGCGGCTATCTCGAGCACCTGGCCGACGGCCTGGCGGACCGTCATGAAGCGCGGCGGCAGGTAGACTGGCCGGCCGCGCGCGAGCGACGGCAGCGTCGGCTCGCGTGTCTTGATGTCGACCAGCAGCAGCGAGTGCAGCCCGAGCGACGCGTTCGCCTCGAGCTTGTCAAAGAAGGAGGCGGGCTTCCAGCTGTCGGTGAAGAAGGGCACCGAGACGGCCTCGCCGAAGCGGTACAGCTGGACGCCGCAGCAGCCGATCGCGTTCATGATGGAGGCGTTGTGAACCACCCGCGTCTGCACGCCGAGCGCCTTTGCACGCGCGAGGACGTCGCAGTGGGTGGTCGCGCCGAACGGGTCGCCCACGACGAGCAGCGCGATCTCGGCCGTGCGGGCGCGCTCGAGGACCGGCTCGATGGCCGACTCCACAAAGTCGCGCTCGGCCACCGTCACCGGCCTGCCGTAGAGCGCCTCGAGCCGGGCGACGGGGACGGTGAGCACAGAGGTGTACGCCTCCAGGTAGACCTCCTCGCAGCGGCGGACGATCTCGAGCCCGCGGAGCGAGATGTCGTGCTCGTCGTTGAGGCCAAGGCCGACGAGGTAGAGCATGGATGTGGCGGCACGTCGGCTCGCGGGCGAGAGTTTGGCGGCACGAGGCGGCACAGACGGAACGTCGTCCGTGGGTCACAGCGAGGCGAAGCTGTCTCGAGGTCTCTTGGTGGATCCCTTGGTTGGAGCCTTTTTGGGAGGCTCTTCCTCTGTGGGCGGGGCCTCTACTCGCCAGGTCACACGCACATAGCGTGCTGTGAGAGTCGAGGAGCGAAGGGTATGGTCGCGGCGCCAGGCAGACCACCATACCCTACCCCCCAGAAACCTCGAATCTGGCCGCCGATCGACGACCATTCGTCGATGGCCTCCTCGTACGGCGCGGACCCGTACGCCTGGCCATGCGCCGTGGCAAGCAACATGGAGTGCCGCGGCTACGACGAGCTCAGGGCCGACGCGGGCTGCCAAGTCAAGTGCGCGGGCAGCGCGGGCTGCGAGCGGGCGAGGCGGGTCTGCACGCTCGTGGCGGGTTGCAAGGGATTCAGCGTGAACGACGAGGGCACGTGGGCGACGCTCAAGCAGCACGTGAGCAGACCCGGCCGCGAGAGCAGCAGCGGTGCCGCCCTCTTCTGCGCACCCGAGCTCAAGGACCGGCCAAAGGGGCCGCGCTGCGAGCGCGACTCGCCCCTCTGCAGCGTCCTCTCCAAGGTTGGCCGGCGAGCCCTTTTCTCGGCGCGGCTGCCGGGCTCGCTCCCGCCCGAGTTGCCGACCGTGCTCGGCTCCCCCTCCTCCTCCTGTCCGGTCGAGAGGCAGGCCTCGGCCACGCACATCGCCTACCTGGCGTCGCGTTACGACTCGCTGCCCGCGCACATCGCGCTGGTCGCTGACGAGGGGGACGAGCACGCCGCGTCGGGCACGAATGTGTGCGCTCAGACCCTCCGACTCCGGGCGGTCGCCGCCGCTCTAGCCGGCCGGCCCCCACCGCCCTCGCTTCTGCTCAGCCTCTCCGTCAACCCTCCTCTGATTGCCTCTCCGCTCAACGCCTCCTCCCGCCCCGCCGCCGCCGCCGCCGCCGCCTCGGCGGGCAGCTTCCGCTGCGCCGCCCAGCGTCGGCTCGGGCGCGATGCCCTGCTCTCGCGGCGGCACCTCTTCGCATGCGGCCGAGAGCCAGCTCGCCCTTGCGGCAAGTAGGCGGGAAGAGGCGCTCGCGTGGGGCCGCCTCTCCTCGTGGCTCGGGCCTGCGCCGGAGCGGATCTCAGGCCGCCCTCCTCTCTCATCTCTACCCTCCCCTCCTCTCCTCTCCCGCCCTCCCTCCCTCCCTCCCTCCCTCCCTCCCTCTCTTCCTCTCTCCTCCCCTCCCTCCCTCCCTCCCTCCCTCTCTTCCTCTCTCCCTCCCCTCCGAGGCCAGAGAAGAGGCGTGCCCCTGACCGGCGCCGCCGAATCGCAGGCTACCTCGGGGGCAGCTTCGTCGTGTCGCGCGACCGCGTGTTGGCCTGGCCGCGCTCTCTCTGGGCCGCGATCCTCCGCCTCCTCCTGAGGCGCGACGCCGGCGAGAGCGGCTCTGTCGGAGACGGCACCGCGCAGCTGCTGCAGGGCGGGCTGTGGAGCATGTGAGCGCGCGCGCACACGCACGCACGCACGCACACACGCGCACGCACGCACGCACGACCCTGACCTTGGCCCTGACCC